CTTAATTAAATCAATTTACAACTTCTGAAGTATTTTTTGGCGTCAGAAGAACGTGGATGGATGCAGAGAATTCATGTAGATCATTTCTAGACCTAGCGAGTTTTTCTAGTGAAGGCGTGTGGTGTCTAGATTAATGAGTCGACTCTTCGTGTTCAATTCAGGCAAGGCATGCCGTCGAATCGACTGACCCAGAAACAGCCCGTCGGCCTGCAGCAGAGTTTACCGTCAACACCACAAAAGACGCCAACCGCTGCTCCACAGACGATTTCCTTGCCTCCGGAAGTGGCCTCGGCGCAGTCGCTGTCACCTCTCCATGTAGCTCCGGTCAAAGTGGTGGAGACGACATCGCCTGTCTCGGCTAACAGCAGTGGCAGCAATGGGAGCCTTACCCCAACCAGTGGTTGCATTGTTCAGAATAGCCAACCTCTCGTCATCCCCACAAAAGCGCCTTTCCCCTCTCCGCCGAAGTTCGCCAACATCGTCTCTTCTCCTCAAAAGGCCTCCACTCCGTGCATCGTCAGCGCCGGTGAGTCATCCGCACTCGCATTTTCCGTTTAACACTTATTTGCCCATCCAATTCAATGATTGTGTATTAACTGGTCAGTGTTTGACCGTTGTCCGTTGTTCACTATCAAGTGACGCCATTTTAGAACTTCACTGAATACAACTGCTGACAATATATTAATCTGTTCCCCAGTATTGATGGTGTTGAAATCCAGATCTTAGCTATTATCACTGATAATTAGAGATATTCAAAATCCAAGAAAAAACTGCACTATTATTTTGGTATTCAAAATCTCTGTTGAAGGTAAGTGTGATTTTTTGATTTCCAGTATATTGTACTATATTTTTAGAATAGTTGTTGTGAATAGGAAATTGGGGATTGACTTACTAATGAACAATTGAATTTGAATGACACAAATTCTAATCGAAAACATCCCAAAACTTGATGCACAGATACTGGTACCAGTGAGTTGTAAAGGTTTCAAGTGACTTAATACATGCTTGAAAATCGCATGAAATGTTAATTTTTTTTATTTCATTAACTTCATACTAACAGAAACGTTGACAAATTAGTAGTGAATCCATTTTTAAGGCCGTTACTACTCAGAACACATTCATGTTTTCCAGTTTCCGTTCCGAATTTAACTACCCAGTCGCGACCTACTGGTTCTGCTAATTCCCCAAAACCCATTGCTGTGTATTCCATCTCGTCGGTAGTCAAAGGTGGTGTGGTTACCCAACTCACTCCAGTGCAGTCATCTTCGTCTCTTCGAATTATTGAAAAGAGAACGTCTACTCAAGCCAATATAACTCCGCCAATCGCCGGTAAGCACTATATTATTAAACCCGTGCGCATGCTAAGTTAATTTCGTGTATTTGTGTACGTGTCTAGTTGAGAGCAAGCGGCCAGTTGTTGTGCGATGTGTGCCGGGTGGGCCAATGCTTGTGGGCTCCAAAACTCCACACTCGTCCGTGATTGTCCGCCAGCCAGAACGCCCTGCTACTGCCTCATCTGCTACCCTTTCTGCCGTCTCTAACAAACAGTCCATCCGCGTAACTAGGCTTGTGGCGCCATCCTCCACTTCCATCGTCACAAGAGTCCTACCTTTGACTCCCAGTGAAACTTCTCAAATCCCTGCATCCAAGCTAAGCGATGCACAACTTGCCTCACAGCTAGATGGCATTTTTAACAAGTACCACACCTTCATATGTTTTGCCGTACTCTTGTGGTTTTTGTCCGTTTTCTTTTTAGGCTATGTGCGGTTCATTTCCGACGTGAGTCACTAATGAACCAAATCTGCTTGGTCTTAGGTCACAGAAGTGATGCTTAGTTGGGGACGAATCGGTGTTCTTAATTTGCGTTACAGCGGTAAAGGTGGAAAATACGTTTCTAACTCAGAAATGTATTAACTTGGTTACCTTCCAGTTAGTATCGTAGATGCCATTGGGTGTTCTTAAACTAAACTTCGTACCTAAAGCATTTTTGACACATAGCTTTTCTTTGTTTTAGCATCCGATCGCCTAGAAAGTTGACAATCGTCGTAAGTACACTGTGAACTGCTTAAAAGTTAGCTTTTTTTAATATCTTTATCAATGCTCAACTTCTTGTTTGCGTACAGCCACCTTCAATGAGCCTTTTACAATCAAATGAATCAACAGATCCGCCTCCGCCCCAACAGGACGTGATTCGGATACCCCAGATTAGCCAATTGGATGGAATTAACGATATGGGTGATTACGACACTTTTTCACGACGTTGTGGTAATAATGACGCCTTTAGTGGGAAGGCAAAGAGGAGGTGGATGGTTGAGCGAGAAAATCGTCTTGCACTCAACGAAAGCGTGCTCAAAGCCAGACAAGCAGTCAACGATCGCCTGTACCAAAAAGAGGCGACCCTTTATGTAAGACCGCAATCATTGGTAGCAAAACGAAAAGACGTGTCTTGCTATTCTTCACAATCTACTTGTGCTGCTCTTGTCATTGTACCTTTTTGGCGCCTAATCCAGGTTAAGCCGTTTCGGCTTCAGTTCTCTACCGGTCTGCTAGATGCATCTCTACCCACTCCAACGTCTGCTTGGCGTGAGGTCGTTAATGCCGTGCTTAAACTGCGAAGGGAAAATGCCATTCCCCATCCGATTTCTCAACGTAAGTGAATCTATGTGCATTATTTCGACGTTCTCATCACTTACCTAGAGATATCGAGCTTTTGGTGTGTATCTCTAGGAATAAACGGATGGGCACAATTCGGGTTAAGCCATCGGCACGTCGTTTTCCTTCTGGAGCAGCTTCCCGGTGCCCACACCTGCTTCCGCTATCGGTTCCGATATCACCGATACCGAATCGATCAAATCCGAGAAAAGGCAAGTTGCTTTTAACCTTATTCGTAGGCGTAGTTGTACTAGTGGATTTATGAACAAAGTGAACAACAGATTGGGCTCTATTGATTCGCCTATATTAAAGCTAAAGTATTTAATCCGGATTTCAAATTTTTTGGATTCAAGGTCACTTTCCCACTTGCTGGTTAAAAAAGTATTGAGCTAACGGTATCCTTTTGTTATCTAAGTTTAGTATTCTTATTAAGCAATAAATAGTGAAAGTTTTTATTGCTCAAAGTCTTATTAATAACACAAATTTTCCTGATGACTGTACATTAAAACTGGTGGTTACGCACCAATTGAGACCAATGTGAAGAAATAACCATCACCAAATTAGTTGAATGATGAACTCATGGACGCTTTGTATCATTGACTTAACACTATCATCTAAGTTTGTAACAAATTCTATATACTCGAAGTGTATTCGGATAATTCACCTTTATTTGTCTTTTGATTCCTGTCTTTATTTATTAGAATTTCAGATTAATTGAGTGGATTACATGATGGTAGGCTCCATCTTTTCTTAAGCCTCGGCAAAAACTCGGTCATATAGAAGGGTTGGGAACCTGTTTGCGATATCATATACATGAAATTACCTCATTCACTTGTGAAGTACCAATTTTGGCAGATGTTCCGAAACCTCTGCGCTTTTGATGTTTCGAAACTCCCGAATCACTTCCAATGGTTTGCATATATCTACCAGTACACACCACCGGTCCCAGTTCACGAGGGTGCAGCCCGCTTGATGCCCTACCCGAAGTTGAGGACCGCGATGGGTCGGAATCAGACACGTGACCCGCTTGACTTCCTCTTGTGTGTGGCGAATCGCGCACCACAGTCCTGTCTGCCTCTTGAGTGGCCTGCAGAGGCAGCGGAGGGGCTTGAGCGCACTACCATCACTTCCTCCTCCTGCATTGACGCCGCGCGCCAGGCAGCTTCTATAGTCGCCACCTCGCTCAACCTCTCGCCACGCTTCCACGCACGCACTGTTGAGGCGGCCGTTGCCGAGGCCACTGCGGACATCGTGGAGGAAGCGGAAGATGCCGCCGTTGCTGCTGCTGGTCGGTCTCGCAACCAACTCTCCGTAAGCCTCTTTCTCTCGGCTTTTCCCACCTATTTTCATGCTCTCATGCCCAAATTTCGAGGTAAAATATCGTTTGATTCCGAAGTGAAGGAAGTGAATTGCTTTGCTTTGTTATGGCATTTTTGAAGTTCCGCTTTTAAGCAACTTTCCGTTCTCAATCCTCTAAAAAGTGATTGCCAGTGTAATATTAGTGAAGACAGAGTTTTGATCTCATTGCGCATGCGTAAAATTTGGAAACGGTTGCAATCTTGAGGTTTTTTCGGAAGTGTTAACCTTTTGTGTGTTACTAATGTGGTCAATTCTTAATGGGAATTTGATAACATTTTTTTTAACAATAGATGTGTTCCAGGGCTTGTCCTCTAGAAAAGAATTTATCACTAGCTGAAAGTGACCATTTTCTGTAAGGGGCGATTACGAGTAGTTGTCTAGTCATTTTATATTTCATATACTTCTATTGCCTCCAATTGTACCTATAATAAAAATTTTAAATGGATCTCTGCATTGTTTCTACTGGCCCGTTTTTTCTATTTTTTTCCAAAAAGAACTGTTTCGGTACTTTTTTGTATCTGCGTACTTTTATTTCAGAAATTTAATACTGGCCGTGCTCAAGCTCACTCTTGATGCGTTGTCACAAAGTTTCGTACTTTGCCTTTATTTTGAAAGGTTACAACATTCTTTTTCAATGCACAGTCATGACTTGGTCAGTGTTCCTGAATGTTGTCTGGCCACTGATTTAGCTGACGTACCAGCTGAGAAATCTGGTGACAAACCGAGAAGCTCGTTTGAGGCGTGTGGCAGTGTACCCATCGCGGATTCATAAGCGTGGTCTCTTCGCGCTGTGCTCTTTCCGCCCCGAGGAACTGATCTGCGAATACACCGGCGAGCTGATCCGCAACATCATTTGCGAACGCCGCGAGGCTGAGTATCAGGCCAGCGGCGTTGATTGCTACTTCTTCCGCATCGATAACGACTGGGTCATCGACGCCACTTACGCCGGCAACTACGCTCGATTCATCAACCATTCCTGCCAGGTTAGGCTTCTCGCCTCTTCCACCTGTTTTCCCGTAGTGTCACGATTTCGTTATGCTTAAATTTCCTTCGCTCACCCATGGCTTTAATGACCAAGCATACGGCCATGTCTTTGACGTCATTTAGTTTAGCGCTTTTGCTGTCGTCCTACCATCACTTTCGTCCTCTGGGGTGAAGAATTCTCCATGTGAAAGCAATGCTTAAAAAGACAGAAGCAAATAAAATCGTAATTTTCATAACAAGCCGCTTACGCTACATTGTAAACAACAAGTCACTTATATAAATGTCTTGAACATTTTGAACGATAGAATCAAAGGATTAACGAAATCAGAGCTCCACCCCATATATGCTCGAAACACATTCGAAGCATTACAGTAGTTGTTTGCAATCAAGTCCCTATCACAAACTAGTGGTTTTCTGCCGTCCTGTTACCATCGCCACCTTGATCGATAATTATATTCGAAAGGTTCCATGCATTGCCGGTTGTTAGTTGAGGCGCAAGGGATCCATACTGGGGAATTCGTATTTGTAGCTTCAACCAAATGAGAAAAATGTCCTTTCCCAGGTCTCATCTTCGGGTAGACGGCTTTGTCGATTGACCCCCATAGAACCATTTGTCATACTGTTCTCCGTACTGAGTCGAGTTGACCACTGTGCTATCTTCCTAAAATATACCAAGATAGTCTGCGTTACTCGCTGAATATGGCCCCTTAATCTCTTTCTCATTTTTGGTTTCGCAAAATCTGACTGACAATTTTAAGTAGAAAAATTCATAATAATACAAAATGCCATAACATTCACATCTTTTGATTGTAGCCAAATTGCGACGCTAAGACCATAACTATGGGAGACTCCAGTCACATTGGCATCATTGCCAAACGAAGGTGAGTTAGTTCTGGCTGGCTGCACCTTACAATTCAGGAATTCCCAACATTCGTTTATTTTTGCTCGTTCTAGAATTCTTCCCGGTGAGGAACTCACTTATGATTACCGGTTCCCGAAGGAAGCGGAAAAATTGTTGTGCAATTGTGGTCGAATCGGATGTAGAAAATACCTTAACTAAACTAATTAACCTACTAACCTACCAATCAGCATCTATGCTATCCGTGTATTTTGCACCATTATTTTATAATATGTATGTATGCATATGTTCAGATGCACTCCTATCCTCATAATATAAATTTTATCCATTAAGGTGTCTGTGTACAGCTGAAATACCCTGTTTGGTTGTTTCAACTTCATATGTCATTCTGATCTTTTTATGTGCTATCTCGTGTTTTGACCGGTTATCAGCTCTACCAAAATGGCACATATTCATTATTACAAATAAAACTTTATGTCGCCTGTATTTAATCATGGTTTTTTATTTATTTGCGTACTTGGGGTGCTATGTAGCTGTCTCAGTCGCCCGATTTATGGGACCAAATAATGGTACAAAGTGATGTAAGTAGCGTTTGTGAATGCGGAATCCGGTTTAAGCCTCCTCTTGGTCGCTAATGAACTTCTAGTGACTAGAGAAAAGTTGTAGCTCTTCAGTTACCTCGGAGATTTGGGGATTGCTGTGGCAGACTCCACCTGAGGCAGTTTTGAGTTAGTCAGTGGCGGGCGTTGTGTCGGTTTCGTCAGATTCATAATGTCCCAACAGAAAGTTGGATTTTATCTTGATATTCCCCTGGATGAAGTCGGTAGTGGAGCTCTCCTGTTGGTTTGATACTCACCATTCATGCCGTAACTAGTCTGAGATTAGCCATAAAGTTCTATTTGCAGAATCCGCGATTATTTCAAAAGTGCTCGAGGTGCTTCACATTGATGGGACTTGCAGATACTGAAAAGGATTTTGGCAATTCTAGTCAGGAAATCCTCAATCATCAAATTGGGTCTGTACAGATTTGGTGGGCAAAGAGACGGTAAATCAGGTGTTCAGTTGCCGGTCCTCCCAAGAACGATCTGGACGAGAGGATTGCGTTGCTTGGCAGCGTAGTGAGCAGGGATCACGATTTTTCTAGAAATAAATTTTTTCCGAGTTCGAGTTTTCATCGAGGTCAGAGTAAGCCCCTGTGGTAAGTCGGTGGTTGGCTCAGTTTAAATCGTTCTATCATCGCCAATGTTTTTCGTGAAGAATATCTTACGCTAATTTAACCGAAGAAACTGATTAACATTGCATAATGCTTTTCAACCGCTAAATAGTACCAATGACCCGTTGTTACAAATTGAACTATTAACCCACTTGTGATTTGCATTTACCGATTCCAATATTTCTTGTTGTAGTGGAAAAGAGCATTTCAACTCGTCATAAACTTTTTCCTACGCACGAACAATTCGTTTTTTAAGATTATCTATGGACTGTAAAATGTAGTCTGAAATGTGAATAAAAGTTATTGGAGAGGGTGAGGTTTGGGCCTTTCAGCGAACCCTTTGAAGTGCTTTTTAATCAAGTTATAAAGGGAAACTTCCCAGGGACAACAGAGTAGAGTTTGGTCATCTGTGTTACAGAACAACGGGCAGTTGGACATAGAATAGGGACTAACTTTAAATCAGTTGCCATGTTCATTTGTTCGCTGATAAATTCCGTTATTCCTTTATGATTATCATGACATTGGCAAATGTCTGTGTACGAGGTTTTACAACCAAATTCTTATCTCTAAATTCGCAATTTGCGTGATACTCGACTTACCTGCTTGGACTTAAGCCAAAATGGAGGGGGGATTTATACTATCATTTTAACTCAATTTACCCTCTCTGCGGGCAAGAGCAGAGGCGGGACGCATTCACACCTCGACTTCACCGTCTCCGTCCCCGTCACGTGTCTCCCCATTGGCCCAAAAATCAGCTTGAGCGCTCACCCGACCGTATCACGCAAATTGTCTGCGGCGCGCACCCACGCGCACGCGGATGATGAGGTGGATGTGTGTGTGCGTGTGGCACGAGGGTGGAGCAACAGTGGTCTTCACTTGATGACCTCCCAATGCAATCGGCTGACCACTGCCAACACCGCCACCACCTCCAGCCTGGACAGTCTGTGTTTAACATCAGTGACATTCTTGCCGACAAGGACGATCACGGCAGAGAGGACCTATTTTCAAAAGGTAAATTATCCTGTAATCTAGGTTACTAGCAGGGAAATGTGAAGTACTTTTCGATCTGATCTAGAGGTTAAAGTCACAATCCATAGAATTAACGGTTTTCATGGAAATGCGTACGGACTCGCGCTTGCAGGGAGTCAGAGTAATTATGCAAGGCAATTTTATAAACGACAACAATTGTGGCTTGTAGGCAGTAGTATAAAGGAAAGTAAGAAAAAATCTGCATCAGAAGATGGATCTAATTTTTATGAAGAATGGTTAATACGAAAGATATTTTTCTGAAAACGATTATAATACTTAAACCAAAATTACGGTAGGAGTGTAATGGGTAGGGTTTGAATCCATTCATTCAACTGGTTACAATGAAATAAATGGATTAGTTTTGCCATTTCCAAATAAAATTACGGTTGTTGAGAGCTAAAGACAGTCTTCATTGACCCGTTCCAGTTCTTGTCAATGGCATTTCCATGAAAATGATGTCTTGGTTTAATTAATTAAATCCCAAATATGTGTGACAGGACCAATCGTTTGGAGTTTTTTACGGTATCCTACCCTTCAAACTAGAATCTTAGTGCATTGCAAATGGGGTTTGAAGCGGAGAAAACGAAGCATATACATTAGCCGTGTAACTTTTGCGAAGGAAAAATCGCAGGACAAACACACAAATGCACACCTTTGAGCGATTGAAAGCGTTTTGAATAAAAGAAAAATCCTTGATGAGCAATCCGGTTAATTGACATTCAGTGAGCAATTTTTGATGCATGTCTTCACACAGCCCACGATTGCCTTGTAATTGCATGCAGGATTCGGCTTTCCAACATCTTGTTGTATGTTAATGCAATTAGTAACACATGCACTTCGGACGTGAAAATAAACACACCGTTGTCACAAAACCTTTGCAACTGTCGGTATCACATCCGACAATTGCCAATCCTAAAGGAAAGTGAGCAAGGTGTCTCTCATGCCATAAATGGGTAAATTTTGCAACAAATCGTTCAAAGAATAGCACGTAGTGATAAAGTTTTAATAAAAAGGTCCCAAAATCTCGGATGTCTGCCCGTATAGATGGTTTAATGCACATTACGGTGATGGAAAGCTCAGGAAGAAGGCATTGAAGAAGCGCAAACTTCTAAGGGCCGCTGAACGTTCGTCAGTAATGATCCAGCTATGGTAGACCAATTTTTGATTTGGAGTAGAACAGTCACTTCTGTGGACATTTAGCGTGTAAAATGTCGGATCTTGACCAAATGACACATCATCTGTCTTGAAATTTATGTGTAGGAATGGTGAACGTAACACAGCCATTCATGAGCATTCGCGATTTTGAGAAATTAGCCCACAACGGGTACTAAGACAGCTTTCCACACTGGTGATGAGGTGAAGTCGGCTACTCCAGGACGCTTCAGCAGTACTGCTAAATTTTCTGTGGCAAAACTTTCCGAGTATTATTTAAATGCTTGGACAATCATATAAATATACTCGAGAAAGTTGTTCTTTGATTAATTAAATTTAGGTTTTATTCTTTTATGGGCTATATGGTCTCCTTTTGTCATAGAACCTGAATAATTGGGAGGAATACATCAAGTAAAAGGATCAGGTGACGTCGAATGATGATGATTTTTTTTTTGATACATAATAGCAGTTTATTCACTTAAAATAGATAGTGGTTTGGAAGCCGGCCATTCAACCCATTCCATTCGCCCTTGCGAATGTGCGAGCGAGTCAAAAAGCATGAACTCTGGCCTGTTCCACGTCTTTCAAAGTCTGCTGAGCAAAATTAAGAAACAAGAAGAAAAGGAGGCGCGGGTTCTTCAAATCTCACCAAAACGTAAATTCATGAATTCTGGCACCGAGCCGCACTTGCACCAGAGCTTCTGTGAGTATGGTAAATATTTTGATGTCTTATCGTTAAGTAACCAACCAGGTTTTTGACCGTTACTATGACTGACAAATAATTCCACAGTTTCATAAAAGAATCGCTTTCATAAAATTTCTTACAAGTTCTGAAGTAAACATGGTCTATTTAATGGCCTGAGAGGGACTGGTATTGCATATCGGTATCCTTTCAGCGCTGGCGTTTCAGTATCATAAAATGAAAATTAAGATTGAAATGCACTTGTAGAAAAAAAGTCACGAATGATGGAGAAATGAAACAAGGTTCATAGTCACCTTAAGGCCTTTTTACCGCCAAAACTCACAACTTGCATTTTTCGGTCAATAAGGTACACCATTCTTCAACAAAGCCAACATTCCCAGTAGTCACTTAAATAAAAATTTCCTCTACCTTATCCGTTGCAAGAATGACAGCCGTTTTAGCTAATTTGCCTTTCGCATTATGAGCATCCCAGAAAACCTCACATTAAAATACAAGTAATAAAAATTGACGATAAAATTAACCATACAATAAAAGGCAAATCTAGGGCTGTTTGGTCATTAAAGTCCAGAGCATATTATGCTGTACGATCTCCTAATTAAATTGAAATAATCAGTTAGAAAATATTCGCATGTTGTCTTCCATCCGTTAATTAGAATCTAAGTAACTACATTTTATCGCCAACCACCTTCCAGCCATGGAGGTTCCGGAATCAATAGGTGTGCCACAGCAGTATGACATGTTGATGCATCCGATAAGGAAGAAGAAGACGCGAACGGTGTTCTCGAGGAGTCAAGTCCTTCAGCTGGAAGCAACCTTCGAGGCAAAGCGGTATCTCTCCAGCGTAGAGCGTGTCTCGCTGGCGCAGACTCTGCAACTCACTGAGACGCAAGTGAAGATTTGGTTCCAGAACAGGCGCAACAAGTGGAAGCGCCAACTAGTCTCTGGTGGACAGTGGAGCATCCAGTCTTCCGCCTTCTCAGCTGTGGATCCTCCACCACATCCCGTTGACTACTCTGCTCCCCACGATGATCCTCACAAAAGCCATTACTTTTCCTGAATGCTAAAGCAGTCTGTTTTATTTTCACCTGATGAACGCATGCAAAATCTTCAAAATAAGGAATTTTTTGTTGTGAACAGTCTTGATGGTGTAAAGCAGTTCAAAATACTCTAATATACTGGGAAAGAGAGATGTAATATAAAGCTGAGTTTGATGTCGTATTGATAGAATTACGAGCTGTGTTAGTTGCAGACAAATTAGTGCAGTTGCCTCTTTTAATAGTCCTATCCATTGTCACAAGGATTTATCATTCGACACTGTTTTGTCGAAGGTAATTCTTCGAAGGCTGGATTGTGCCACCAAACCTTCGGCTATATTCCTGGCTTAGGTCGTCCGAGACAGCCTTCAATGACCTTCTTTGGCTTCCGAATCTATCAACATTTATGTAAGTGCCAGAGAGAAGCTAGCTATAAGGCTTTTGCAGAAGCTTTCGATGGGACGTGCAGGTGCCACCTACACTTTATCAAGACCTGTTCCTGTCGTATTTTACTGTGAAATACAGTCTTAGAATTTTTGAAAGAGCCCATTAGTTGTGGTCTTTTTTGGTGTAATTTGCCGTAATTTCTTTAAGGTCCTCTTGGTACCCTAAATATAACTGCTAAACAGAGAAGGAGGTCATAGGTTTTCCATTTCATATACTGTTGTTTCCAGCCAAAAGAAAATACAATAAAGTAGCTTATTAAATTTTGCACTATGATTGATAGGCTTAGAGACAAATTGCTATTGGCGTTCCACTGTGTTCAAGTAGGCCGTTAGGTATTTGTGTAACTGAAAATAACGCTGGATCTAACTGAAGTTTTCGAGATCAGAAAATAATCTATTCACGCTTTAAATGAGTTTAATTATTGCTGGCAAAAGGGCAAGCAGAATGTGTTTGGGCGATTAGGTTGAAGTAAAATTTTTCACTTTTTGTTGATTCTGAAAGGCGAAATAACTAAGAGCTGAATAGCATGATTTCAAGACTATGTATTCGAACATAATTTTCTACCTCTTAACTAGTGTCTGATCGCAAATCCAATGTCAAGAGATAAATCTAGATGGGCAACTGTGGTAAATAAACCTGGAAATGCGCTGGCACCACCCTTAAAGGTTACATTGGTCTTAGGACTTTATTCAAGGCATCTGAAAGGAATAACTCTTCAGTTACCTTTCCTCTCTGATGTCTCCTCAAACGAAACTGGTATTCGTGCTATTAATTTACTGTTTCGTAAAATTTGTGGTTAGTACAACGGATACGTCTACAGAGCATCGGTTCAGCTTCGAACTACCAAATGGCACGCAGCTGACTATTTGAGCTGATGACTTAGTTGGATTGACTACAATTGCTGATTATTACCTTGTTTTTAAGTTCTTTAATGTAAGCGTTTGCAATCGAATCAAACTGCAATTCGTACCCTAGCCAGTGCAGTCACCGAAAACGAATTAGAAATAAGTGCTTAAACGCCCGGTCACGTCAAATAACACATGAAATCGGCATAATTTGCGTGACCTTAATGCGTATCTTCATAATAATTGGTTAATACTCTGGTAAATACGTAAAGATTTGTGCTACCAGCCAACGAAAAGTTGCCTGTGGTTCCTTTCATTTGAAACGGTTGTGAGGGCGTAGAGTTGAATTGTAACAAGTTTTTTATCATATGTCAAAATATTCCCAATCAACCTTCACAAAGCGTTCGTAAAATTAATAAACATTCGAAAGCACCGTTGAATGTGGTAACGTTTTTTTGGATTTAAGGGCTGAAATGAAAATTGAGGAGTTGCGTAGATGGACTGAATGCTAGCAATTAAATCACCATCCATTAACGCGCCTCCACCGAAACGAAGCGAGGAATTCTCAGAAGACTTCAGTTACTTAAGCTAAAAGCGCAATCCATTAATGTAAAAGTAGATTAAATTTGCGGTGACATGAGTAAAGGAAGGTGTAGGGGTCATTTTGAATTGCGATAAATAGTGTGAAAAGTGTTGAGGGTTTAGTTTTCATGAGGTTGCTACTGTAAGTACTTCACCAGCATAAATAAATAGCAAACTTTTATGACGTACTAAACATTGGATTTTGAAGACAGCCCATCTCACCGTCTCCACATTTACATGTTTTTAAGCCTTAAAAAATAGAAGAGTTTGATTTTATGCCCTCCTCCACAGGCTTCGGCTGTGGGTGAGTTAAGTGCTACCAATGGCAGTTCGAAGGCTATGCTTCCTAGCACACCCAAATTTACCATGGTAGTTGTTTAACCGTGTTATATGTAGTTGTGCGCTATCCCCTCTCCATTACCCATCGACAAAGTATAGTTTGATCTTGTCTTTCAAAACATAGTTTGATCATTTGTAATATCACAACTATCGGTAATGAGTTGCATCGTCACTCCACTTTGAGCCAGATGACACATTAGTAAAAAAAAATCTTCCCTTCTGATTTCACCTGATGCATATTTCATATTCAGCAGTTAAATGAACACTTTATATGTATTTCCTAACCATGATGGCAGCAACATTTTAACTACACCATATGGTTTTACTGTAGATTCATTCGAATGGGTAAAAGGTAAGGGCTAAGTGGAACTGTCAATTCTTCCTTTTGAAATTGCTAAATGATTCTCTTAATATATTTTGAACTAACCTAGGGACACTCAGAGGTCAAAGACTTGCTATTGAACTTATGGCTCTGTGGATCCGGTGGAAAGTGTTCTAGGCGACATCAATTTTGAGTTGACATGTTTGAATGATCGGCATGATAGAATTAATAGGGCTTTCCTCAATTGTTTGTTATATTTATGCATTTAAATCATTGTTAATGAGATTAGTGCCGTGAAGGTGGTTGCTACAATGAAGTATTTCCCACAATTAGACCCATATTTTTCATTAGACTAAGTGTTTTGAGGTACTACACTTGCATAAGTTATAAGCCAAGATTCCACCTCACATGCCACTTATATGGCATTGTAAAACGTAGCTGCAAATAATTTTTTCGCTTTTGATTGTCCTAAGCCTATTTCTTCAAATATCCTCCCGTGGTTCTACATTTTCATGGGAAACTACATAATGCGGCAATTATACATACATTTTAATTGTTGGACAGGGAGAGGGCTTTTCGATGCCCCATAATGTACTTAGAATATTAAGTTAAAATATGGTTGGGCAAAAATTGGCTTGTCTTATTATTATTGTCTCCAATCTCTTTTAATTAACCACTAAAACAACGAAAGATTGTGCAGCGTCCAAGATCTTTCCAGAAGGCGAAAGAAGATTTAATACCCGGGCAGAATATGTGACGCTGACGTAGAGACGGGCTTGGGAGCTACTGACGTGGCCTGGGGGCTAGACCGCCTCCCAATATTACAGTGGCGAAGCCCCTAAGTAGCCGGTTACCAAAATCGGGGATTAAATAAACAACGTATTAAAATTGTTTGCTAGGGATTTCTCTTGAAAATTTGGTACGAAGTGATGAATTTCCCTGTAAGCATTAATTTATCCATAGTTTTTCGTTATATTTCACTATAATACTGAAGATAATTAGTATTAGGCTAAGACGTTGGAGCAATATATAGTGGGACGAGTGGGAAATGTTGACAATGTGTAATGCTCCTGTCAGTGCTCCCGTAAATAGCCGCTTCTGCTTACTGACGTGAGCTCTACTGATAGCTTCTCAGTAAATCAATCATTTCAGGCCAATATGACAAGTGAAGTGAATTCATAGACTGCAAAAAAGTGGCGAAAAATTCTCTGTTAATGTTTATCTACTTAACGAAACATTGTATCAAATGCTCCTTCCATCCTGAGTTAAAAATGCTCATTAATCAAAGTAATAAGGGAATAAACCCTCCTAGCTAAAGGAACCAATTAATTATATGGATATGTTTATATTTGAACCAGTTATCCAATCAAACTAAAAATATGAACATTTTCGAAAAATCCACTTGTCCGATTGCATCCATCTTCCAACTGTGCACGGCTAGTTATTGTTTTGCAACAATAAAGACTTAACATTGATAAGTTCGTCGGCACTTGATTAATCCTAGTACTCAGTCTAAATATTCATATTTTACATCAGTAGGGCTTGGGACTACTGGCTAGGCCAAGAGACCAGCCGCCCTACTAAGGTGCAATGTCGGAGACCAAAAGTATGGCCTTTACCGAAACCGAGAGGAATGCAGCCAACGCATCACAAGTTTTCCTTTATTAGTGATTAACCCCCATAATCTTTGTTTGTAATTATTAATTGCAACTTTTAGGACTGGTTATGCAAAGGTTGCACCTACTTGTCCAAGTTAAAACTAGTGAGCATTTTAAGAGTGATTCGTAGACTTGATCTGCCACGACCGACTTCGATTCCACGGCTTCATGTTTTACTCAGTTGAACGTAATTATTGAAGCATGGACGCCAATCACTCGACGAACAACTCCCATTCCTATGTTTGCGTGGAGCACCAATGGATCTGAGCGTTTTTGACTTCCAAGTAAACGTTTTAGGAAAGTGGCATTTTAGCATACAGCGTCTAGACAGTCGAATTCACGGGTGACCTATCCTATGATTAATACGCAATTGTCCTAGGCGTTTGCTGGTCAAAAAATCGCAATGGTGAAATTATGAAATGTCTGCCGTGCACCTTCAACACCATCGGAAAATAAACAACTTCTTAATCGCAAAATATCAAAATGAAATTTGTAAAACCTTGTTATTATGTTGGTGTTTGCCATTCACTTGAAGGTATGTATTTTAGGGGAAATGTAATCACGAAATCAGCCTAGAATTGATTCTGTTTATTTCATCTGCACTTACAACAGGACTAGAAACTTGTACAAAGGAAAAAGCACTAATCATTCTATTGTATGCACTGACAAAACACTATCAGGCTGCCAAATTCCGTGCGAAATGTCATAATTGATCTAATTTCCTTGAAAATGAAAGGTCAACCATTGTAAAATTTATAGCTCCATGGTCTTGCTTGTCCAGAACACGTAGTACGTCTTCAAATGAACTCTCCCTTCAACAAAGTTTCGCC